TAATGGTCAATTTTTTTCACTCATATTGCCTACGTGCACACTCGGACATCGTTATAACATGTCTCGAAATAGCGCGTATTCTGCTTAGCGATAGCAGAATAAAATGCGAAGGCAAAAGTGTGACGGGAATGGATACTACGTTCTCATCGGGTCATATTTAAGTGGAATTTAATCAGACAATTTCTAAGCCACATTCATGGCTATATCGACGTCCAAGTGTTGGGACTGTATCGACTTCATTATTACCTAATAATAAAATATATGATATATAGACATATGATAAATTTAATATACACCTTTCGCCATTGCCACTCCCAATTACGAGCCTCTTAAATATATTTGCAGATAGAGATATTACTGTTTTGATAACTCCACACAAATCATATACATAAAAAAAAATGTATATGTTCATTTGTATATAGATTAATTGCAGATTAATTTTAATCTCGGTTTAACACTTTTATCTGTTTCTAATTTTCAAGAATTAGAAAAAAGTAGAGTAAATTAAACCGAGATTAAAGTTAATCTGCATTGGTAAAAATATGGATATTAACTGATATTATGCTGACAATATTAATAAAGAGAAATACTTTACATATAATTTATAGCGGTGGAATATTAAAGTGGCATCTCTTCAAAAGAGGCTCATAATCAGAAACAGAGAAACTCTAAGCCCTAAAATGCTGACCTATCTAAAGTATGCATCGTACTCGGCAATAGATACGGTAGTGGGAGTTTGTTAAACTCTGATTTGTACTGTTCAACGAATGTAGTCTTTCTTTGTTTGGCGCACGTTCGTGATCACCGCTCAGTAGTAGGCCACGGATTCTGTACTGTCTCTCCGCTGTAACATCTCAGAACAGAAGGACATCCATACATTAGTGTGATTTAAGCGCCATACAGTCATCATCTATTTACCCTAGCCTACCGAAAATTTATGCTCAAAACTGCTTCGGAATAGACGCATTCTGCAGTTTTATAGAGTATGGCAGCATTTTTTAAAAAAGAGAAAACTAGCACCTGAGTGTCCTAAGTAGAGCTATTGTATTTCCGCATCATGTTCTCGCTCTTAATACACATATTACACTTGCTGTCGTTTCTCTGTTTGCGTTTCCCACTAGCAAAGTTATGTATATAATATTATTGTTATCACAGGCATAACGGTTATCTGGTTGCCTTAGCAATTTACCTTCGACTTTGGTCTTCTTCACAGGTGGTTCTGTACTGTTTTGCGACGTTGGTACCTGCAAATGAAAACAAACTCATAATATAAAGTAAAATCAATGAGTTTATTTGTATCATAAATTATAAGAAGTTTGTTGCGTAATATTTTCAATAAATAAAAAAATGTTAATTATATGTTAGCAGTTTGTTAATGGATTTCAATAGCATATCATAGCGTTGGCATCACCTGTGTCCACATTAAATTCATGTTTTGTCACACATAATAATAACAGATAATCAGGACTATGCTGAGCATGTATTTGAAATATTTTTAATTAAAAAACAATATTTATAAGACAATTGTATTTTATATTTCAGCGAAGCACATGAAAATATTATATTATACATTTTTTATTTCATGGGAGCATATAAATGTAAAATTATTTAATATTTCAAATACAATAAGTCTTATTATTTGAATTATAAAATACAGAAAACTTTTCAATCTTTCAATTTTAAATATAAAATACGTAATATTTTTACGTACGTCAGTGAAATAAAAAGACAGAATATACTTGTGTTTTAATCTGAAAATAAATTCTAATTGGAACTTCACTTTGTGTGGAAAGTTATAAATCTATGTGGAATCTCATTTTGTGTGATAAAGAATATGAATATAGTGGGTCCTCTATAGAGAGGAAAGTTCCACTATCAAAACATTATACACTATTGGGGCATTCTACTTTAATGATATAAATACTTCATTGATCAATCAGAAGAAAGAATTTTATGAATTGACTAATCAAATTATTTACCAATTGTCGACCAATTGTGTTTGACATCTTATTAGATATTACATTTGTCATATTACAAATTTTGTAAGTCTGTTAATTAGCTAGAAGTCAGAGAAGCTTTTCACTTAGGGTCACGTAATCAATTAGTTAATTAAAATTGGCCAATTGCATCTGCCATTAAACAAAATGACAAATGTGATTAGTCAATTTCAATGGACTAATCAGCCAATTGCATTTGTTAAAGTGATCCTTAGGCTTAGTTGTACCAACATAAGATTAACAATCTCAGTTGTTTTGTTTTTCAAATTTTAAGAATCAGAAAAAGATAAACAGTAAGTTAAACCAAGATTAAAGTTAAGATTCTACCAATGTAAGATTAACTTTGTATAATGTCTATTATTTTCTAATTTTTAAAATTAGAAAGACAAATAGTAAACTGAATTTAAATTATATATTATACAATTAATCTTACATTGATCAAAGCCTTATGCCTGTTTCTACTAATATAAATTAATTTTAATCTTGATATAATTTACTTTTATCTTTTTTAGTTCTAACAGTTAGAAATGGATAAAGAATAAATCAAAATTAAAGTTAAACTACATTGATAGAAATGTACATTAATGACACAAACATTATTCTATCTCCATCTCTGTCCTGCAATCAATTAACAGGCTTGAAAAATGTGTCGTACGACACGTGTAATATCAGTCCAAGGCGTCAAACGCGACACGGTCGACGATTGATAAACCATGTCAATTAATGTAGATATCTGCGATCGCCATTAAGCCGCCAAAGGGTTAGCCATATCACTGACGAAGGACGGCGGTCGTTCTGAGGAAGAGAAGTTTACCATGGCCATCGTTCCGTTCATCATTCCACGAGAGTCGTTTCTGAGCGGACGTGAGTGGCCTAGGATTAGGATCTCTCGAAAATTCCTGGACGAAACCACGAAATACGCGACGAGTCGATAGCACTGCAGTACGGCACTTCTTCTTTGCGGAAGTACCGCGCGCCGGAAGTCGCGCTAACTTCCTCGTTCAACGTTTATTGAGAACACCGCGAGACCGAGCAAAAAATTTGTATTTATTATATTTCTCCGAATGTTTATATAACGCGATTTAGCACATGTTGCCCGCGCGAAACAACGCGAATTAGAGGAAAATAGAAATGAGTCTCGCGGAAGCGAGTGAGTGATTTGATTCGAGCAGTGTGCTGATTGTGCATCCGTGACAGCCTTCACGGCGGTCATTGAATCGCGTTCGTGGTAAGGTTAGGATTCGAATGTATTTCATCAATTGTACAGTAGGTTTGTTTTTTTCCTCCGCCCGGTGTATCGCTCGCTCGGTATGATGATTGACGACGAGGTTATGGCGGATAAGGGCTTTTTCATCAAGTTGGTGAACGACGAGAAAGTGAGGCATATTTTCGATTAAATCCGCATGCCATTTCTATGATTCACTGTGTGGTTTTTTTCCTGATAGTTAAAATAGTAAAGCGGGATAAAATAATGGGGGGAGGGAGGGAGAATGTATGCTCTGGTCAACATTTTTCTTTTTATACGAATTGAAATATTTTTCAGAAATACTGAGAAAATTAATCTTGGAATTTATTTTAATTTGTGAAATACTTAAATATTTTCGAAATACACTAAGATTTCTCATTCTACAATTTTTGAAAAAACATCTTAAATTTTTATAGATTTAATATTTTATTTATTTATAGATTTTTTTATAAGATTTATTTATAAGATTTCGTCAAGAATTTTTCAAAATTCATATGTATAAAGAAAAAAATTCTAGGGAAGATATAGATTTTCTTCATACTTCTAAAAAATGTCCTAGTTTATATTAAAAAAATGAGAAATTTTATAAACAGTTATATATGTTCAAATCAAACTGACTTTTGATTATACAGAATAACAGAACACATTTATGACAATGCAAATTATCTTTATTTCTTGATGTGATCCTCTGCTATACTAATTATACTTATTCCAGCGTTTCACCAGTATTTGGATAGCATAGAAAAATTTCTTAGTACACTGGAGCTATGCTCAGACTGCCTGTTTTACACTACTAAAAGAGTTGGTCTCCCAGAAATTCCTTTAATGGTTCAAACAGGTAGAAATCACTTGAAATAAGATCATAATTATAAGGAGAATATGACATTAATTCCCAGCTGAGTTTCTGTAATACGCAAGTGGCTGTGTAAAGACATGCACTGTCCTGCAGTAACAAAACACGTTTAGTGATCAAATTAGGCTGTCTTCTTGAGAGTATTATGCACATCTTTTAAAATTTGACAGTAGTATTCATTCATAATTAACAGAATATGCTCTTTTTATATTTACAAGATTAAAAGTCATGGTTTGACTTGAATGTAGTTATTCAGAAAAATTAAACAATTTTCATCAGGAGCATAAAGATGAATTCAATAATAGCAATTAATTAAAAAAAAAATAGTATAATTCATATTTGACGTATATGATGGGACAGCGAAACAATTACCTTAAAAATGGGACATTTGATAATAATACTAGCTATTGAATGCAATATTTGACAATATTAGATATACTAATAGATTTATTTACAATGAAATAATAATGCAAACATTTAAATGATCATATGATAAAGAAAGTATAATTATCAGACATGATTGTAATATTAGATTATTAATAATCTAATATTACATTATAAATAAATTACAATAGAGCAAATAAAACCCTACCTAATTAAACAGATATGTGTGTGTGTATATATATATATATATATA